AATTCAGAAAATATTACTGTTCGAAAGTTTGGGGTCAGTAAGATTAGAATAGAAATTACTACTTTTATTCAGCAAGGGTGCATTAAATTGACATACTTTTACATAATTGAAAAGAAAAATAAATAACTCAAATACATACATGCATACATACATGTTGTTTTATTTTACATCTCTATTAATCCATGAATCCTGAAAAAAAAAGTAGTAAGCAAATACAACTGTTTTTAACTTTCACAATTGTAAGAAATGTTAACCAAATTAGCATATTTGAATTAGAGCCCTGCACGGGCCTCAAATTTAGGCCCTGGCCCGAGACGCTCAGGCCCTAGCCCGGCCCGTGTCCGACAGCTCATCAGAATTACCGGCCCGAGCCCGTGTTTTTTTTTCCCCTTCTCCCAAAACAGCTTATACTACTGTTTCAGCTATTAAAATAGTTCAGTTTTGTATGTAATAGCAAAGTGATTATATTTTGTTTCGTTTTTTTATTAAGTTAATTAAAAAAATACGTTTGGAGCATTTTTTGTTCACTAAATATAAGTTTTTTTTTTTTTAAGTAACAACCAAGCGGCCAGCGGCAGACAGTGAGCCTACTGTATGTTTGAGCAATTTAGCCTTCTCAAATCATCGCGACTTGCCTAAAATAAAATCTATAGATATAAAACAGTTCAAGCATATAACAATGTTTAAACATTAAACCTAGATAAATGTGCGCTATATCCAATAGTTTGTGCGGAGACGCTTTGCAGGACATGGAGGCGCCAGCGCGATCACTTGCATTTTTTTCAGTGGATACGCCGTCATTTTTGCTCATAAAGGTAAGAGTAATACATCATTCGTAGCTGTAACGGGTCTACTTTTATTTGTATTCACTCACAATATCAACAAAACGTTGTGATTTTATAAAATAAAGAAAAAAACCATGATGCGCTTTCTGCCGTCTCGTCTTGAACAGGAGCGCTTTACAAAAATGAACCGAAACTCAGCGACTACATGCCTCACAGACATGATAAATATATCTATATAAAGGTTTAAATTACTACTTAACAAAATAAAACAAATCAAAAACAAAAACTCTTTCATTATAATCATAATCCGTAAAGATGCACTTCTCTCTAAAGGCGCGTCTAATGAGGAAATTGCGAGTCAGGATCGGCAACTTCATCCTTGCGACACCGACTCAGAAAACACTAGTTTATTAGTAAATAACTCAAATATCACCTTACTATTTCGCCCGTCACATTTATGGTAATTACTTTTGCCAGTGCTTTGTGGCAAACTTAAGCCTATTGCGTGCATTTGAACGCAGAACTCTTCAGCTATGCTGACGGCACGCGACATACTGCTGCTGGTGGGACAATAAACACCATCGAGCCGCTAGCACGGTCTCGTGTTGTTTCCACCAGCCCGGCAATTTTTTTCATCACTAATTGATGGATGTCTAAAATATAAAAATAAGGAGAAGCCTAAAACAGGCCCGAGCCCGCGTCTGAACTATGACGTGAAAATTGGCCCGAAGCACGGCCCGAGGGTATAAAAAAGTCGCTGAAATGCAGGGCTCTAATTTGAATGATCTCTGGAGGATCATGTGACACTGTACTTTGCCATTACAGGCATACGATACATTTTAAAATATATTTAAATTTAAAATTAAAATATATTTTACTGAATTCATTAATTCCATTAATTACAAGTGTTCAACTGATTAACGTAGCGTTTTAACCTGTCTGTGGCTTGTGTAATTCATAAAGTGCCAATATGTCAGTGGAGAATGCTGGGAAATATATTTTTGCAGCAGGCAGTACAGTTGATGTGTTGTTGACTCTGGTCTGTATGTTTACAGACATCTGCTCTTTTCCTTTGCAATGCCTTCAGACAGATGGTGCGATGGTGACTTCACAGGGTGGAACTGTGGTCACGGAGTCACACACCTTCTGTTTTTGTGAATTTATGTATGCACACATGCATGTGTGTGTGAACCTTCTTATTCTCACAGCAATAATACATGCTATTCAGTTCATTTAACGGTGTCAGACTTCATCAAGTCACTTCTGGAAAATGTGACAATAAATATAAACCAAGGAGATGTGTGTCTTGGGGTATCTATTGTAGTAATGTAGTGTGTGTATCGTGAACTTAAGGGTCATTGTTCCAAAAAAAAAACAAAACAAAAAGATAGATATATCTATATATATATATATATATTTAGATGCACTTAAAAATATTAATGTCATTGTATACAGTTGAAAAGATAAGTTAGTTTTGAGAAATCATTTGTTTGGAGATGCCACTTTCTTTGATTTTTTTTTGTTGTTGTCATTTTTGCTATGAGTTTTAAAGGTCACACAGGTGTCACAGTAACCACAGATGTATTTCACATTAACTGTGGACGTGTTCCACTAACGTTTGACAGAAACAAACAAAAAAAGTATCTACATTTTTTGAAAATGTAATCTTTCTTTAAAAACACTTTGAACATTAATTTTTACCTTATGAAGCCTACTGTATCATATTTGATACACAAATTTATAAGGCCTCTAAACTATCAACATGATCGAAATATTGCTGAAAAACCTGTTTTACACAGTCTACTACATGTCCTGTGTCATCTGATTGATAGTTTATACTTTTTTAGCAATTAAAAGGCCCTCAGGTCATGGTCTTTTTGCTGTGGAATTTTTATTGATAACAATACAAACATAACAATAGCTTTTATATTGTTAGCAACATTTCAAAATCAACATTTACTGAACTGAAGTAACTTACAACTGATATTTATAGGGGATTTATGTAAGCAGTCTGCTATACTGTTATAAAGATCTCCGTGATTTGCATTACAAGCTATCGGAATCAGTTACATTATTATTTTTTATTTTTTTTATAGTTCAAGTTTCTTGATTTCTTGACCTTGATTTTATTTTATATGGAGGTATTTTATATCAGTTACATTATTTCTATATAATTTAAAATGTTTATATATTGTATATTATTTTTTTATATTATCTTGTCACATAAATAATATAAATATCAACAGCTGTTTGAGCCTCTGATTAAAATGTAGGTGTTTTTTTTTCATCCTCGGTGAGCTCCATATTCTCACTAAATAATAGTATGTAAGCCATATTAGCCTAGTATTTATTGTTGTCTAAAGGTTCAATAAACACTTCAATTTCAAAACGATTTTTCTGACTGTAATTTAATATGTCAGGCTTCACAGGGTTAATGTTATTTACTGCAATGACATTCAGACATTTTTAAATGTCACTCAAGTGTCCAGAGTGGGGCTACTGTATACAAGGCTGCTGCTAATACCATAAACAAGTCATTTATTTGCAACTCCACTGTTGACCGCAGGAGGTGCTGTTGGCTTGTTTTATGCATTCGTCTGCTGGTCTGCTCCTCTTTACGTGTCCTTGTTTTGTGATGAGTGAAAGTGCTGTTAAGGGACTCTCACAACTGGAGAGATTAACACTGCCACTTTTGTTCCTGAGCAGAAGGCTGTTATATGAAAGCACAATGAGTTTGTCCACCATTTGGAGGTCATTCAGACCGAAACTCTACAGACTTCTACGTTTCTTGCCCTACCTCGGGAATCATACTCCATCTTGGCTTCCTCTCCTCTGTGACCTGTCAGACAGCAGACAGTGATGATCGTCTAGGATGAGCGTAGACGACCAGTGGCGTTTTAGACCACACTAATGCAGGGGCCAGCACTGCAAATATTCCCAGCAGCCCACTGGTCCTGTCAGCCAGAGCTCGCTGTACTCTTTAAGGTTAGACCCATGTTGCCAAGGAGACAGAGCAGCACTGTGTGTGTGTAGTTCTGTGATACCCTTCCTCTGCTCGAACTGTGACTTGCCTGTCAGAGCTGTGGTTTGACTCATTCACAGTGGTTACTAAATAATTCTACACTTGCATTGGACTTTGCTTCAGGAAAATGATTCTGATGTTCAGTGGGGAAAGATTTGTGTGTTTGATATGGTAAATAATTGCCTGTTTTCGTACATTGTCATATTAATCTGTGCAAACATGCTATCAGACAGGTTATCAAATTCAAATTGGAGGTTTCTTTCATTTAAATGTACCAGGCTTATCTTTTACTCAAACTGAAAACTTGAAACCATTAAAAATATCTATGTTGATTGGGGAGGAGGAAAGAAATAGAAAGAAAAATGGATTTTTGTAACAAGTGCACTTTGCTGTTTTTTTCTGCATCTTATGTCGAGCGCAGTGTTTTTAAAGTCCCCATGAAATCAAAATGAAAGTTTTTTGGGTGTTAGTATCAATATGTTAGTCTTAAGGTTATCTATAAGGCAGTGTGCTCCAAAACCGTGACAAAATTCGCATTTAGAATATATAAGCATTCAAAGCTTGCAGTTCGTCACTACCGCCAATATGGATGAGATTGTGGCTGGCATACCCTGGCAAACCTTCACGGAGCTCAACGGCTCTGAATGGCTCTAGCCCAAGCTGTGATATAAACGAACGCTATTGGCTATTTTAAAAAGGGGTGGGGCTGCTTGATATGTCTCACCCTGTCTTCCTGTTTCAGTTAAAATGATGTCAATACATAGAGTAACGCTGCGTGTTTCTAAGCATTTCAGGGGACCTTTAAGATTGTTTTTGGCACTGCAAATCAGCCCCTTGGGAATGTTCAGTTATCCTGAACGACATTTCTGTGTGACATCTACCAGAAACTGCTGTGCGTGTTTGTGTGTGGTTTTAAGCTCTTTTAAAACTACTTTTTTTTTTTTTTTTTTTTTTTTTTTACCTGTACACTTTTTATGTTTTGATTTGTTTAATTTCTCCCATCTCAGGTTATATATGTCCCCAAAACTTGTAGAATTCGAACCGTCTCTTTCTTTGAAGATTTCAATATGTAGGATGAATCTTTCTATACTCTTGTCTCTTTTACTGTCTCTTCTTCCATTTTTCTCCCTCTTTGTCTTTCACTTGTATTCTCTTTCTCTGTCTCATTGTTATTTCCTTTTGGCTCTTTGCAGAGGAAGAGGTGGAAAATTTCAATGTTTCCAGCTTGCAGGAAGAGGTGTTGCAGAACATCGAGGCTGACAGCTTCTGGTGCATGAGCAAGCTCCTGGACGGGATTCAGGTAAATTGATTCCCTATCTGCCAGTGTGCGGGCCTGATACATTCACTCTGTTTGTGTGTGTGTGTGTGTGTGTGAGAGAGAGAATGTGTCGCGGCCAGATTCCCCTGCGTGTATGTGCCCCGTCCCGTTTCCTCTCCTTGCCTTTCCTCGCTCAGGCCTGTCCAGGAATAAAATCCATGATGAATATTCTCGCTCTGCACCACAGGCAGGACGCAACCTCCTTATCCAAAGGGCCTAGCGGTGCTCGAATTGTCATGGGAAAGCAAAGCGACCCCCCGCCCCACATTCACTTTGTCTTGCCTGCCTCGTCTCTAATTGATTTAAGGCCATAAAACACCCGTGCTGTTTATGCAGCAGAGACGGGGACACACATTGCAGTATAAAGCTAGGTGTTTGCAGTCCTCATCCCTATATTTTCAGTGCTCTCCCCCGGAAGACCGCAAAAGATTCCCGTGCGGCCTGGTCTGTCACTTTTTTCCCTCCTTGTTGATAAAAGACTCTGTAATTGGGTGTTTCTGCAACTGTGGGCACTTTTGGCCCTGTGGACTTTGAAATTAAACTCACTTCCAACACATTTTTCACTTAACTGGTTAATTTGTTTTGCATACTAACAGTGTCCAACAGTAGGAGAAGAGGAGAATTGGTTGTTTTTGTCCTTTTTATGGAAAGTTTAGCAAATATAATTTCCACATTTTTGAGCACTGAAACTCTCTTGTCTTGCTAAGGCTGATTTCAGAATTCTAGAATTTGATTGTTTTGTGGCCTGCATCCGTAGGCAGCATTTTAAAGCACCATTGACAGGCTATCAACATAAAGCCTGTTCCAAATGGTAGGAAACATAATTACGCTGCCTCCTAATATGCCTCATTTTTGCTAAATTCTAACATGACTTTGGTGGAGAAGCCAATCCCTCAATGCATTGTAGTGAGCTTAAAAAAAATCCATTATTTCACAATTATTTATTTTACATAAATATACTTTAAATTCTGAAAAGTATTGGTAACATTTAAAGTAATGAAAGACCTTATGTTGTTGTTTTTACCTAAAATGTGTGTTATGTATTGTTTATATGCGTTGTTTATCTTACGTTGTCTATTTTGTATACTGTGCATTTGCTGCTTTTTTAAAGTGTTCCAAATTGGTCACTTATGAGTTACCTTTCAGTTAAAGATGCTATCTTAAGGCTCCAATATACTTCAAGTGAAATCAAAAAATGAACCAAAATGAGTTGAAAAATATCGGCACACTAGATATCGGCAAAAATCCAATATTGTGCATCCCTACTGCCATCAGCATTCAAGATCGCAGATACCTGCCCTGCAAAATCAAGAAAATGAGCACCAGGAAGCAGTGAGTGTACATCCTATCTTTAGCTGAGGTATCGCATATGTGCCTGACAATGGAGTCTCCGATAATCACAGCGCCTCATTCTGTCTCATCTTCGGGGGCGAAGCAGTTTCGGGTGGAAATCTCAAAGGCCTGAAGATTTTAACATTTGAAAATTGAAAGTCAGGGTCTGGGAAAAGTAGCAAAAAAAAAAAAGGCTAATGAAGGTAAAAAAAAAAAATAATATTCTGAAGACAGTCTTAATATGACCTTCATATAACAAAAGTGAGGGAAAAAAAAGGAAACTTGTTAGGCTGCAGTTACACTGGCACAAAAAAAATCAGATTTTTTGCTCACATCTGACACAGATCGGAATTTGTTGCACACATATAAACATAAAAATTTGCACGAGATCCGAATTTTTCACATCCGATCTAAGCCTCTTCCAAATGTGGATTTTAATCGGATACATATCCAATATCTGGACATCCGACCTACGTCTAAACACACATATCTGAATCCCCGCAGAACTTCCAATGCGAAGGCTACACGTTTGCCAGACGTGTATGCGCTCGCATTTTATTTAGATGGAAACTTTATGTAGGCTAGGTAAGAAATTGCACATTCAGGAGCTGGTTTTCAACCCCTGCCCCATGAATTTTATAAATACAACAGCTTCGCTAAAGCTACATTATATTTCTTAGCAATGACGTGATAACTTTCACTTGTTCGCAAGCTTCACGCTCTCTCTCTCTCTTTCTCTCTTGTTAATTCTTTCGAATTCATTTAAATAAATATCATCTTGGCGCTACTTTATTTCACTAAAGAATTCCACCTCTAACGAGCTGTAGATTAAATAGCCTAACAAATGAAAATTACCATTATTTTCCATTATTTATCCGTTCAGGTAGATTTTGAGCTGCAAAACATCCATGACAGCCGTTGTTCATGCTGACAAATAATAATGGCCACTCGACGTGAACTATATAAATAATTTTAATAGCACGGCCATTCAAAACCCGAGGGTCTACCATGTGCATAGTATAGTGATCATTGACTACCATTTTGGGCAGGAATTATGTAAACCGATATCGGATACCAGTCGTGTCTAAAGTGAATGTAAACAGACGGGCCAAAAAAATCGGATATGGACAAAAGATCGGATCTTGCAGTGTAAATGCGGCCTTAGTTTTCATAAAATACAACCCTTGAGACACAAAGGGCCCACAGTTGAAGAAACACCCAATTACAGCGACGTGTTTGAAGTGCGTATAGACAGAAATGTACTCTCACGCACTGGCTTTAGACGATTGTCTCTTCACACATATAAAAGCATTTGCATGCAGCGGATCAACCCTCCTCACTGGTATTAGATTGAAATGCTCTCGAGGCCCTCCAAAGCTTTTGTGGTATTTTGTCTCTAATTACTGCGGTAATTTGTGTGTACAAAGCAGATTCTCTTAGGTGCTAATGATTTTTCTCCACCCTTTGTTTTCCTTACACCTTCACACCATGGCAGCTGATAGCTCTGAACACTTGCTCGCAAGTTGTTAGCGTCGGCAGCGCCATGCTCTCTGCATGTGCGTGTCGGTGTTTTTGAGTGGTTGTTAACTCTGAGTGTAGTTTTAGCGTGATTTTATAGTCTCAGCCGTGCATAATTGTGTTCGGGTCTCAGGAGAGTGCTTGCGTTTAGAAGCGTAGGGTAGAAAAAGTTGTTAATTACAAGTATTGTATTTCCCTCCTGTGTTTGACAATAGAGAGTGATATCGTTGCTATTGTAATGTATAATTATTTTTCAGATGGCACTTTATGATGTATATTAAGGAATAGGTTTTGGTTTATATGTTTCTGTGGCATATTGATGATAACCACAGATAATAGTTTCTCAGTTTGTAAAAACAAACACAGATTGCATTTACTGTAATCAGCCCTCTACATTGCGAGTAAATCACTCGCATATGCGACTAAATCTTCACTCTGGGCGACTTAATGAAGTCTAATATTAGCCAATTGCTAATAAATTCTCAGATTTTACTCGCCAGTGTGTGAGTTGGAGGCTAAGTATAAGTTTAGCTCAGATATATTTTCACTCGCCGAACACTCTCTGACTGAGCGCATCAGAGTTTCACTCTCCGCCAAGCAATCTGTGCTGTTTTTCAGTTCATCTGAATGGATGTGCAACGCACCTGTATTTAACGTACCGTAAACTCTAGTGTGAAGGCGCACGAATCCAGTAGCTCATTAATCCTTGGTGCGTTTTATATTGTTCTTATTAGTAGAATTCGTATCATTATTATCTTTTTTTCATGCGTAACATCCCATATTTACGGTGCCCGTAAAGGTGACATGTTTGGTTCACTTCGTTTTGTCGTGGCCACGAGATAATAACTCGTGGGAACGTGATAATATGTGGTGGCCACGAGATGTTAATTTGAGGGAACGTCATATTAACTCGTGGGAACGTGATATTATGTCGTGGCCACGAGATAATTTTGTCGAGGTAACGACATCCTTATGTCGTGGCCTCAAGATGCTATGTTATGGGGAACGACATATTTTTCTCGTGGCCACAAGTTTAATGTGCGAACAAATGGTTTATTGGCATGTCAAGCATTTACAGTAGGCTAATATTTACAAAAGTATTATAGAACGTTAAGTAAAGACATTGGAATAAAGGGAAAAAATGAAAATAAACAAATATAAAAATATAACCAATAATACTAGGCTAATAATAATAATAATCATATACAAATATTACGGGGAAAAGACGATCAGTTAATGGACTTACAAGACTGTAGGATGGATAAAAATTTTTCTTGTAGGCCTATTTTATATTATGTACTTTATGTAACATTTATTCATGATAAAATTCATTTGAATGCTGACAATCGCACGTAATACAGCCCGGTAGCCAAGGCCTATATGGTTAGTATAATAATATAATAATGTAATAATTTCTATAATTGAACCGAACATGTCACCTTACGGGCACCGTACATATTTGTTATTTTTTAGATTGAGATTTTTCAGTAGTTCATTGATGCCACAAACTGCCAGATTTAAACCCGCTTTCGGCCACCACAAAGAGGTACTAATGTTTTTCTAACATGTAATGTACAAAAATGTTTGTGTGTCACAAACACCCAATTGATCACAGAACAAACACAATAAAAATATTACAATTATTATAATATTATATATATATTTTTTTGTATTTTTATTTTTTTTTATTATTTTATTATGTTCCCTGAGGTGTAATTATAATATTACTAAAGTTTTTTTGGACGAAAAACATTCAAAATTGAGTGATTTATGACCTTTTCCCACCCTGTTTCTCATCCTCTGACTGAAACAGTCGGTTTTGGGGTGCTTTCCCTTTAAGAGGTCAGTGTAACCGCCCACTTTTATGATTGGCTAACATCATTGCCTATGCAGTACCGTTTAAAAAATTGTTTTTATATGAAATATGTTACTTACAGTTTGCAGCGTCGTTGTTGGGTCCAGAACCGTTGGCACGGCCTGATCTTTGAGCAAAAGTATTTTGGCAAAGCTAGCATCATACTGTCATTTGTTCTCAAAACAGTCAACGGTGAAATGTACTGAACACACGCGTAAATTAGCAGTGACGTGACGTTCGCTAAAAATAAACTGAATCCATTTTTCTCTGACATCGG